AAGTTTGTAGAATTCATTTAAATAATTTTTTATTAAATTCGATTAAGTTATTGTTAAGTTATTGTTGTTTAAAGTTTTAAAAAATTTCAATAATAGAATTATTTGTCACCAAAATTTGAATTTAAATAAAATTATATATAATATCGATATTACGTATGAAATAGCTCTATTTCTTTATTTAATCCTGATAATCATCATACTTTTACTAAGCAACTTATAATGGATAAATCATATATATCAGACTAACTTGATCAAACTCTACACAAAAAAGCTCTTGTGTTAGTGAACTTTTTCAAAATAAAAATAAATGGGTTTTAGAGACCCCATATGATGTTCGTTATGAAGGAATGAATGATTTACTTAAAGTATATAAGACCAACTTTGCAGCGCATAAAAAAGGATTTAAAATCAAGTACCGAAGCAAAAAAGCGAATCTGAATCAATTGTCATTTATTCTAAATATTAGAAGAAAGCTAGAGTATTTTATCCAAAAACATTCGGTACAGGGTCTATTCAAGAAGCAGAGCCATTTCTTAATAAGTTAAATTATGATTGTCATCTTCAGAAAACAAGATTAGAGAAATTTTTTCTCTGCTTACTTATGTCACTTGAAATTAGGGGTGAAAATCAAGCCTTTTATTAGACAAAGATTGAAGAAAGAATACTTGTATTAGACCCAGGTGTTAGAACATTTCTTGAAAACAAAAATTTCTAGTTTTTAAAATTTATTAAATATAGCATATTGCATTTTTCTCTTTTAATTATAATCAAAACAAACACAATTTATAGTAAAACTTTATTTCACTCTTTGTATCAAATATTTTAAATTTTATCCAACTCTTAGGTAATTTGATTGAAATATCATAGCTGACATGCTATTAACGATCAAATTAGTATTATCCATCAGACTTCAAACATTGTTTTCAGGAAAAAATCAATACTAACGTATCACGTGTTTATTTCTGAAATAAATTGTGAATTAGAGACACCTGTTTATGTGATTTCAGTGATTTTTCTATTGTTTAAACAATAGAAAATTATCGAAACTGCATAGATTTGAATATTTAGCTAAATAATAAAAATATTTAAATACTCAATGCTCTTTTTGACTGATATACATCAACAGAATTTGATTATAAAATAATAAAAAACATTTTTTTTATAGTAACATTCTCAATAATACAGTATCTTAAATTTCATTACTGGATTATTTCAATTGCTTTGGAACTGTTTATTTTATTCTCTAAGTATCTGTAACTATATGTATGAAAACTTAAATAGTTTTTTGTATGAGCTTGATACAGAATATGTTAAATAAAAAGTGTTAAAACTTCTACAAAGATTACCATCTTAATAAAGTTTCTCGGCAATATTAGCTAATATTAATACATCTTTATCTTTTGGGTTAAAAATTTTGAAAAATTTGAATCTCCTAATAATGCTTAAATTAGGATATTGTATTCATTTTCGGTCGCGTTACAAAAATATTTTGCCATTAACTTGGCTTTAATCAATTTACTTGGTATAATATTTGTAACCCAGAGAATATGAAAAGTTCTCCAATACCCAGTACACAACTTTAAGATCAAACGTGAATTCATATCCTTAATTTTTTTGTTTATGCAACTTTTAATATCTCTTCCTTTTCATCTATCTGTCAATGAATTGCTTTTAGTTTCATTTTCTTGTTCTTGTTTGCAATACTTTAATAAAAAAAAAAAGAATTGAGATAAAGAGTGAATAAGATTTAGTGTTTTGATGTGTTGGTTATTGATCTCTTTTTCACATCGATCATAGTGTTAATTCCAAATTCGAAGGTAGTTATGACAATCTTTAACATTTTGTAAATAGTTTGGTAATGGATCTAATGATACTGTTGAAACTTCATTAAAATCGATATGTTGTGAGAATATTCCTTGTAAATCTTTTGGATCTTTGTTTGATGAAAAAATATCATTTATTCCTTTTCTAGTCCTGATTTTCTTCAAATTCTTTATATATTCTGATGGGCTTTAAGATTATTACTATATGTCGTGGATATAATAATATTTCCTATTTGTAATTCTTTAGATGTTGACAGTTAATAAATGAAAAAATTTGAAAACTTTAGAAT